ATAAATTAAAAATAAGTTTAAAATGATCATTTTTAGTCTCTCAACTTTTAATATATGTATATTTTTCGTCCATCCACTTTAAATTAAGGGACTAAAAATGTTTATATTTAGATAAATTTAACAAAATAATTGTTAAAAAGACTAAAAAAATGAAAAATGGATTAAAAAAGTACATAAAAAAGTTAAAGGATAAAAATTATATATGACATTAAAGTTGAGGATTAAAAATGAAATTTACCCTTTTAAATTTGAATTTGAATTGTATGGACAGCTTTTGTGTATTGCAGTTGCAGGCTTTGAAAAAGCCTTTAGCCAAAAACGACGTCGTTTTGAGCTAGGGGAATCCTTTTTTTTTTTTTTTAATTTGTAGTGTGTACCGGCCGAAATTTCGGTGAATCGGTCGGTACACCAAAATTTCGGTCGGCACATTGGATTTTGACTAAAATGACAAAATTTTGATTGAAACAAAAATTAATATTATATCATTTTGGTTAACTGTCAAAACCGATACATACCGACTGTACCGACCGTATTAACCATTACGGTACGATTTTGACTTCTTTGGCCGTTAGTCTAATTTTTGTACCCATCAAAACTAATTCTTCCCTTAACGATATTAATGATACATGCCCAATGTTGGCTCACTTCCTTTAAAGAAATTAATTTATTTAAATGTTAATTTTAAGATTTAAATTTTAAATTTGACTATAAAAAGAGTTTATAAAACATTATTTCCTTATTAGTGTGTTAGTGAATTCAATCTTTAAGGTTATAGCGTTCTCTCTCCCATGCTCCAAAACTCTGCAAGCTAGGGTTTGGAGATGGCGGGCCTCTCCTTCGGGATTCCTCTTCGGTTGTGGAGCCCCCCTCCTCTTTTTGCTACTCGCTTCTCCACCGTCGGACAATGTACTTGTAGATCCGATTAGGTGTGCCACCAACCCCTGTTTCTCCAGGGTTTCTGTTTTCGCAGATTTGGTTAGGCGAGCTAGATCTCTACTCCATCACTTTGTTTTTGCCACTGCCATAGCATCCCAACCATGGCTGAGGAGGATATTGGGTTTATGCTTAGCCGAATTCGAATTGCGAAAAAGGACGATGGGATTCTTCCACTACATACGGCATGGAAGCAGAATGAAGCTAATGTGGGCAGGTTACGGCTGGTCAGGAAACTGCTATCCTGACGGCGGGTTAATCTTAATGCCTTACATAATGCTTTAATGGCCTCTTAGAACCCTAAGCACGCTTTCAAAATTTCAGAGATTGGAGAAAAGATCTATCTTTTTCAATTTTCTGATATTGGAGTTCTTAACAAAGTCATCCATAGGGGTCCTTGGAACTTTATTAACTCACTACTCATCCTCAAAAGATTTCAGGCCTCCCTAACTCCAGAGCAATACAATTTCTCTACAAACCCATTTTGGGTCAGGATCTTCGATGTCCCGGTGGGGTTGCACTCTGAGCAGACTGGTTTCATGATTGGAAGCTCTTTAGGAAAAGTCCTGGAGGTGGATGAGGGATTCAAGAAAGCCATTAGAGTTTGAATCGAATTGGACGTCGAGAACCCACTGCAAAGGTTCAAGACTTCGCAACTTACTGTTACCAAAAGTAGGAACCTCAAGATTAAATATGAAAGACTCCCAGAGTTTTGTTTTGTATGTGGGTGTTTGGGTCATGTTGAGAATGATTGTGAAATTGCTTACTGTATTAAAGATGCAGGTGGTAAGATTATTTGACGTTTTGGTCCTTGGTTAATGGCTGAATTTGAGAACTCATGGTGTTCGGACGACTTTGCTATTTTGGATGATTCTTTCTCCAAAAATACCCAATTTTTGGGGGCTGCTAAGCGAGTAGATGACCCACAGCACTTTGCACATGCAGAAATCCAAACCTTTCCTAATTTGCCCCTTTGTGGAAGCCAAGTTGTGAGTGGTAACAATGATACTGGGCAGGTTGAGGGGGGAAACATAGAGAATGGTACAACTGACATGGGCTTGGAGGTTGAGATAAATCCGTCTCGAGCTGTTCTGTCTCCAATTGCTGAGGTACAACTGGTGGATGTTCCTTTGTCGCACCAGTTGGGGGACATGAGAAACCACACAGGGAAAGGGACCACTACAAAAGCTAATAAGAGCAACTAGAAACGGTTAGCTCGTGAAGTGGCTTCTGCAGGGACCACAGAGAATGGGACTCGGAACAAGCGGAGGAGTTGTCTCACACCTATAAAAGAAGAGCGAGCCCTTAAAGTGCTAGTAAACAATACAGGGGTGGCTTTAGCTCAATTGGCTAAAGGCCATGACCCTCATACCGGTTGAAGTATGCATTAGCATGGGACGACATCTAGCGGATTGGGAACTGTTGATGTCGAGTTTCCCTACTCTTCCCATGAAGCTAGCTAAATAGGTGATGACATCCAGTAGTTTCAGACACTCATAGCGACCTCCTTTTCTACTTTTGCAGCCCTATTTTTGCCCTTACAACAATTGTAGATACAATCTCTAGTCACAAATGGCCCTCTTCGCATCATTATCCATATCTGTCATGTGCACAATTTAAATCTGTTACTAATGCTGTAGGTTACGCTTCTGTCTTTAATTTGGCTATAACGCCCCTAATAGAGATTCATCTATAATCTCTTTATATTTTAATATAATTTTCTATTTCCTATAAAAAAAAAATCTTTAAGGTTATAACTGTCATTAAATCCAATTTACTTATTTGATAACAAGTAGCTTTTATTAGACTTTGGCTCATAAAAAAATTTTTTTTTAAAAAAAGAGGAGAAGTTTGTATTAGACTTTGTTATATTCATTACAAGGAAACTGTACATGTATCAACTCGGAACTTTAAATAAGCAAGCAATGAGAAATTAATTACCGTCGTACCTTCGATTCGAGGGAATTGCTGCGACCTCCAGGATTAAATCCGCCTCTAGAATGGAGCTCCATGCAATTCCAATGCAATATTTGACTGTCATGATTCAGCTTTTTTTATAATGATATTTGCCAATATTCATTTATTGAATCAGGCAGTAGTTAGGTAGTAATTGATTGAGGTTTTCTATTTATTTATTTTTATTTTATTATATAATAAAAAATAATTATTTTTTATTTTTTATTCTACTCTATTAACATGTCACTTGAATTTAAAATCTCTTATTTTTAATAAAAAAAAATATTGAATTATTTAGATAATTGACTATTGAAGCTTTTATAACATGTTTCCTAAGTGCACGTCTTAAAGTACATTAATTAATTACATATTCTTTTATTAAGCTATCTAAAAAGTTAATTTTATTTTTAATATTAATGTCATAAAATAATTTTAATTAGAGATTTAATGAAACTAAAATTAATTTTTATTTTTTTATAACCATTAGTGAGAAAACAAGTACAATTAACATACTCTTAAATAAGAGAAGAGGAAGGGAAGAAAGTGAGAAAAATAGAAAAATATACTCCTCCCTTTTCTCTTCTACTCTCCTCCATTCAAGGTTAAAATATATGTTAAAAAAATTCATTTTTTAACTAAGTAATTGCATTTTTCACTTAAAAAACCTGTATCCTCTATCGACCTATAATTAGGTAGGACGTTACGTGGCTGGGGCTAGCTAATTCATTTTGGTTTATTAAACCACGTAATAATAACCTGGTTAGGTTCAAGTGAAATTTGGAGCTGGTCACAAGCTGGTCCCATTGTACCCTATTCTCGCCTATTTAATTAATGAAATTTATTTGCTTTCCCAATAAAATAGAATAAAATAAAAAGCAGGACGTCAGTCTAAATCAGGGCTGTTTTTTTATTTATTTTTATCTTCTAATAAAAATTTTGCAATGGCTTGGTCTGAAAAGCGTACATTCAAGAGGACTAAGGAATTGGACTATTAAAAATCAAATGTAATCTTTAAAATGAAAACGATGAACACAAACAATAACTAGCAAATAAATTGAGGAAAATTTGTTTTTTCAGTTTAAATTGAAGAAAAAAAGTATAGTCTAAATTGTGACTTTACCGAAATACTTTAAATGAAACTTCTTTTCATATTAATTTATTAAAAGTATTCTATTAATTTTAATGCTCAGATTGCTTTTCTATTGTATAGTTTGGATTAAAAAACATGTAACTCATGGATTAAAGTGTGAAACTTAATTAAAAAATTTAAGATAAAGAAGTTTAAACATTAATTTATAGCTATTTAGCTATGCTTACTTCTCTCCCCTAGCTTTAGAAGCTGCCCTCCAGCTTTCGGGTGATGAGAAATTGTTACCTTCCAACTTTCCAAATGCTACAAAACCATTACAATAGGTTGTAAGAGTCATCCACCACACTTCCCTCAATAGCTCATAGGTGTTATCTGTCTCTCAATAATTTCTAGGTGCTATTGAACCTTTACAAGAGATAAGAAAAAGTATATAAATAATTGAAGAAGTTTCTAATAAAGTGAGAAAATTTTTATAAAAATACTATAGTTACGATATCACATGACATTGTAAGTTTACAACATGGTGTATTATTATATAATTAATTCTTTTTATTTAGGAGTTCACTTGTAATATTGTAGGTATTTACTTATTTAATACCATGTTATGTTTCATTAAATGTCCCATAAAATTGTAAGCAATAACATGATAAGTGAGAGAGACAAGAAGACACAATATTACATGGTTCGGGATAACGCCAAAACATCATGATGCATCAAGGCTACCCTAATCCAAGGTACAAAAACCTTTGTGGATTTTGCACATTTATATCTCTCTATTCTTTTCTTATATATGAGTAATCATATTTATAGGGTAAGGGATATATAATATAAAGAAACAATAGTTAATTGAAAATCATTTATTAATGAGAATATAATCAATATCAAATCCTTGAAATTAATCAATTGGTAAATTGATTTCTCCTTGGTTGACCAATCTTCATAATGGCATGATATTCCTTTATTATATAATTAGATTAATCATTATATATTTGATCCTCTTCTTTCTTACTTTTATGATAGGATCAATTATTCTATAATTTGATCCTCTTTATAAAATATGATATTGAGTATATAACAAATAAGGAAAGTCTGTTCTTAGTTCACCTGACAGAACCTAAAATTAATACTAGACTAGTACATAAAGGGACATATTAAGATATGTGATAGGGACCCAACATTCATAGTGAAGCTACATATAAGGGAGCATGTTGAGTAGAAAAATCTCATATTAAGCATATAACAAAAAAGTATCTGAGTTAAATTGCCAATTAATTTTAGGTTAGATGCAAGTCTTATGGTGAAACCCACATGCATAATTTTCACAATAATCTCTTAAAAGATTTTATGTAAAAGACTATTTACAATAGTATTTGAATAATACCAACGACCTGTTGGTTTGAGTGGAATGAATTCGGTTCTCTGTAAGTAAAATCTCAAATTCGAATCTTGTGAATGGAGAAATAAGTGCTGGGAGAGCTTCTCCCTTAATAGGATCTCTTCTCCTTTAATGGGATCTAATGTAATTCAATTCTGGATTACTTGAAATTCAATATGATTACTGGATGCTGAAAAATTAGTACCAAAAAAATAGTGTTTGAATAATGAAGACTTTTCTTAAACTCTCTTTTAATGTTAATCTCTCTTCTTAAAGAACTCCAAAAGCTTGTATCTATATTTGAACATTTGAATCTTCAAAAACTAACCGTTAGAAATCAAGAAAGGAAACTTCTCATTTAAATACTTAATTCCAAATGAGGGCGCCGACACATTAAGAAAATGAAGCCATAATTGGAATTCTCAATTTCTTTATGAGTATCGGCACTTGATTATAGGGTATCGGCACCAATCCAAATATTTCAACCGATTTTTCCTTTTGATTGTCGGTTGTACTATAAACAAGTTGTTGATGTTAATTTTTTATTTTGGTTTTAGTTAGCATCTTGATTGCTAAATTTTTTGGCACCAATACAAAAAACAAACTGCCTCTATAAAACAAGGGAAATGCTATTGAAATAATCACTTTATCTCAGTTTTTTTATACAATCTGATGTATTATTAAAATGATTTATTCTTTTAATTCATGTGAGATCTGTAATATTGAATGTATCCACTCATTTAATTATATGTAAAATTTATATAAAAAAGTGAAACAAAAAAATTATCTCTAAAGCACCACTTATAAAACGAATCTAAGATATTGCCTATATCAACCAAAAGGATCCAGTATCCTCACAGCCCATGTAGTTGCTCAGGGCAATGTTTACAAAATGAGCAAAGCAACGAGTGTCCAATTGCCTGGCAAACGGTAATCAAACCGAAGCATCTATTGCAAATAAAATAGAAATCCCACATGGCGAGTGCAGATTGCACTCGGGCAACGCTTCTGAGTGCAATTTTCTTTTTAAAAAATTTTAAAATAAAAACAAAAATGAAAGGGACTAACGGGAGGAGGTGTGCTCGTGGACTCACCTTAAACCCAGATCAGGTGTATATAACACCCTTCAGTCCTCATTACAAACACCGAATCCTTC